TGGGCATCAGATGGCAATTAGCAGTAACATGATAAAATCATAGCTCACACAGCCATTTGCTACCAGAAGTGCTATTGCTTGTAGTGATAAATGGATGATGCAAATATTTACTAGGCCGCGCTCACACCAGTATAGTGCAGAAACTCTCAGGGGTTTTCAAGGGGTTGTATGATGTTGCAAGGAACGTGCTGAAGTCAGAATTGTTGATCAGCAGGCACAGACACCATCTCAGAAGCCCGCCATGGTACAAAAGGCTTCAGTCTCTATTCATCAGGTTCAGGAGCAGATAGTCCAAGGAGAGCTCACTGTTGCATGCCATGCTGTTGGGGAAGTTGGGCATTGGCCACAGCTGCTTTCATGGAAACACGTTACTCTCAACGAACGTTACCACACATCATCTTTGACAGCCACACTTCTCCTCAGAAATGGGGTATTCTGTGGAATGCCGAAGCGCAGCGATACCCCCAGTAGCCCTACCACGCGTATGGCGTCGATTCGAGGGCATTTTGAATACCGTTGCACCGACTTTTGAAGGAGATCCCTTCTGTGGTAGGAGTTCAGAAACAGTGTGAAGCGGTTCGTCGCCTCGGCTGTGGGCAGACACAAAGTTCCCTTGGATGTCGCACTGAATGTCTGCAGCTAAGAGACACTTCTGGGAAGAAATCGACGTCAGGAACCAGCCAACATCGCCAAGGCCGACCAAGGACGCCAAGGACAGAAGCTCAGGTGCTGCGCAGAGTTTTAGCCCAATGCGGCAAGGGAGCACCAACTCATCAGCCCAACGTCTTTGAAATGCCGTCCACAAACACAGCGCAACACGCCATGCCCGCCCCGCAGGGTTGGCAATCGCGAAAGAAATTGCACATCCACCAATCCCGAACGGGGAGACGTTAAGACGATCCCCGACGTGCCCGTGCCTGGCGCTCCTTCGTACTCCACTGGCTCCGCCGCGCCCACATGCCGGGGCGGTTGCGTGGTGAGGCAGCCAAGCGGTGCCGCGGTCCTTGGGTAAAACAAGGCCGAGACGGCCAGAAGGCCCAACGCAGCGATGGCGATAAGCTTCACGAGGCCCTCCCTGGACGCCGTCCACCCCCTTTGCGGTGTCCTAGACCCCTTCATGCGCCTCGCAGTGTGTCTCATGGACACCCAGTGGTATTGGCAGGAATGGGATTGTTAAGGGCAAGGATGCGATAGCAATGCGCCTTCTCGAGAAGCATCTGAGAAGGTACTCCATGCCAATAACGACACATTCCGCGGTTATCAATCACGCCATCTCCATACAACCCTTCGCGCAGTTTACGTTCTCCTTTTGGGTGGCTTCAGCTGCCACGCTGTTCATGTGCATGTGCAATTGCTTGCTTGTTTGGGAACATTGCCCGCTTCTGGTGCACCGAAAGCTGAATGCTGAAGATGAATTGCGCCTTGGCACACACACGCACCGACAGGGGAACTGACTGCGTTTGGGCCTTATGTGTAAGAAGGGACATGCCTTTTGAGCATGCCAGTGCTTTTCCCTCTATTAGTAGACAGTTCCTTGTTTTTGGGTCCCTCTCGTCCTGCATAACCTTTGGTGTGTCCTATTGGCTGCATGCTTATCCCACAGTGCGACGGGGAAATTACCCTTTTCGCAAGTGCAGGGGAGTTGCTGGAAGACGAACGGGTACCTCATTGCAGGTTCTTCGTGATGTATCAATCTCGTAACAACTATAGGGTCTTTGCTGTGTGAGAATTGATGCAGAGCTAGGCAAGTCGGCCCAACCAGCTGTTTCCTAACCAGCTGCTTTTATGTCTCCCAACCAGCTCCAGGGTTAGATGCCCACCCAACATCCTCTTGGGAGCGTGAGATGCCCACCCCACATCCTTCTTGCGAATGCAAGGTGAACATATGCGCTTCAAGAAATGGGCAGTGCACATGCAGTCCAGTTACGCAAACGACCAACCCAACCACAGCACACTCGATTGGTTGGACCATCTTACTCCCGCACAGCGATGCAGACGTATGGTATGACTCATACCAAAGAACCACAAAAAGGGCATGCACAAGTCCCTTCTTTCTGCACATTGGCACCAGCATCACCAACTTTCAACTTTTCTGCCCAGAGGGAATGTGCAAGCAAAGGGGAAGATGCTTGGGGAGATCGCTGTTGCCAGGCACGTTACAAGGCACAAGCTACCAACCAGCCCAAGGGCCAGACCCTGGGATTGGCATCGTGGGCCACTGCCACGTTGTAACAGAAATGTAACTATCCTGCTGTATTAAGCCCACAGTCCTGGAACACACAGTCCCTTCATTGCGATGAAGCTTCCCCACGTGGCGTGCAACTGGCCAAAGTCCAGCAAGAAGGAGAAGCATGCCAGAGGCTGTGCGCTCCAAAAATGTTCCAGCAGAACAAAACACCCCAGCACTCTGGAACAGAAAGGCACACCATCCACAATCCCAGGCATCACTCCACAACACGGCAGCCCTCACATGCATTATTGTACTTGCATAAAATCCCAGCACAGTGCTTCAGGCGTTTGCATGCTCAGCCAGTACTTTCTCTAGCCTTCTTAGTCCTCAATGTGATGCTTGCTTCTCACACACCACCAGAACCGGCTCTAGCTCGCCATTTGTGCAGGAAGAACGAAGCAGTTGCCCAGGAGAGCTCAGCCGCCAACAATAATCTGGTTGATGGGCTGCAGCCACAAAGAACACACTGTGTAAGCAAAGAAGCAAGGTCATGTTTTGCTTTGAACCAGCTGGACTGTTGACAGCCTTACAATCAGCTGCAGTTTGAATACAAGTACCTTTTGGAGGTTGCTGGTAACGACAATTGACGCTGGAAAGGCAGACACCTCACAATCTACAATACCCAGCTGACAGAGGCTCCCCCAAGCAATGAATCATTGCAACAGTGCCCGGTGAGCAAAGGTGCACATACAGCTTCCAACACACCACTGCTAAACCCAAACAGCGCATCCCATGATGACGTCACTTACAATGAAGATGAGCTTCACAAAAAAGCCGATGAAGCCCGTCACCAAGAAGCCCAGACCTGTCTTCAGGCACACCTCTTTGAACTCTGCGGCAGCGGCACGGCCACGCGGTTAGGCATTCGAACCACGCTGGGTCAGAATTCAAGTTCCAAATTTCGTCACAGAGCATTGCCTTTCGAATCTTGCACCAAGCGCGTCGCCTTTGCAGCGCAGAACGCGGACCGCAGCACAGCTGCGCATGTCGCGCCACAGCTCCGTGGTGGCGCCTCTGTGCGCCCTGCATCGCCAGGAAGCCCAGCTCGCGGTGCACCCCCCACAGTGCCCGAGCGAGCACCCGGATCTGACCGTAGGCGTGGGCCGCAACTCCGCCCCATCGGTCGATGCACGCACGAACATACAGAGCCGCTTGCTGCAAGCGAGCTGGCGGATCTCTGCAGCCGCCCCTCGTTGGCAGTGCCCCAGACGGCTGCACACGAGGCAACCCATCCATTGCAGAGCTCCACGAGTCTCCACGCTGGCCCAGGCGCCGCGCCCCCTCCCAACACGAGGCACCCCCCCCCCGACCCTCGCGCCCCTCCTGAACTAAGCCCGTTCATCCCGGCCCGCCTTCGCACGCGCCACTCCAGCCCATGGCTCCCGTCCATCGGTAGAATCCTCCCAGGGCGCAGATCCCAGCAGCCGCCCGAATCTTGGGCCGTCCAAGCCGCGTCAGGGTCCAACGGTGGGACACGTCGCGCGGCCCGACGGGCGATTGCTGGCGCCGCGAGGAACCGGACGGCCAGCGGCGGATCGCTCGGTCGCCGCAGATGCCTCACCTTTTCGGTCGGGCTTGGAGCACTTGTTCAGCAGGCGGGTGCTGGACTTCGCAAACTCCCGCAGCGGCTTGATGACCACGTCCAAGGAGTCCATGGCTGGGGGAGGTGCTCGCGTCAGAAGGGGCGGGCGCGGCCTGGCCTCGGCAGGGCGGCGCGAGGGCGAAGCAGGGTGCGCTCAGCGGTGCTCTCGGCCGGTGGGGGAGGTGGGGGAGGCGGGTGAGGACACGGATGGGGCAAACTGCGGTGCGAACTCTGGCCTGGGTTCTTGTTCGGGGCTCGGCACACTGGCCCGCCCCAGTGTGACCTTTGGGCGTCCCACCGAGGCCGTACATTACGTCACTGCGGACGGGTTGTGTCAACTCCCCCTGCGCCAATAAAAATATAAAAAATGCAAATATAAATGTAAAAATCGCGCGAAATGTTCACGTAAGATTTCCTGACGGACAAAACATTAGTCGCCCAGGCGTTTTGTTGAGTTCTTTTTCTTTTATTAGTTCGACTTGGTGTGAGGTTGTATTCGTGAGGGTAGAGCTGTTGTCGTCCGCAAAAGGGGTTGGCTCCTGTATGCTGACGAAGCATCTTGCATCGTTTCCGACTGTGCGTACATGATAGAAACCTGCAGGGGTCAAAGCAACCGCCTCCTGCGCCCCGGACCCACAAATGACGGGATCCCGCTTGCAAAACTCAACAGTCATAAAGCGCTCGCCGTCCCCACTCAAACTTCTCTGTATGTGTCCTTTCCTTTGTTTCATTGCCTTTGCCCGCCAATGAAATTGCCTGGTGCACTGCGATAGAAAAAGGCAATTTCATTGGCGGGCAAACGGCCATTCTGAATCCCGTGAAAACTGGTGACCTGAACACTGAAAGTTAGTCACGCTCGGCTCCACGTGGTCGACTTCAATAATGGCTCAAGCAAACCAGCTTGTGGCCGCGAGTGCGCACCACGGATTCAGCAGTTCACGTGGGCTGCTCGAGTACATTAAGCCAACCCAGCTTCCTGCCGCCGCGTGTTCCCGAACGCCGGCACAAAAATCCCCGCCGCGAAACTGCCGTGGGTCAGTTACACCGCCCAGCGTTGCGCTGTTACGCGCCAGAGTGCGCCATCTATTCTTTGACCAAACAGCGCATGGACCACTATTCTTGCTGCGGCCCCCGCCTCGAGTTTCTGGTCACCTGACAGGTCACCCCGGCGCGGGCGCCCCCGACGCCATGGCGCCCCGTGGCGGCAAGTCCGGCAGCAGGGCCGCCTCCGCCAAGCCGCCAGCAATCGGTGCGCGCAGCGCCGAGCACGCCGCCCTGATCCTGCGGTCTCTGGAGGAGGGCAGGCTGGACAGAGACCAGGTGCTGGGCCTCATGCGCGCACAGGGGGGCCATTGCTCGGAGCCGGGCCCCAGGGGGAGCCTGAAGCAGACCCCCGGGTGCCTGTGCGGCCTGGTGCCGCCGGTGGGCGCGTCCAGGAAGCGCGGCCTGTGGGCCAGCAACTCGGCGGAGGCGGACGCCCTGGGCTGCAGCCAAGACTTCGACCGGCGAGAGGTGGGGTCAGCCCGACGACTGTGCCTGCCGGGGAGGCCGCATCTTTCGTCGGGGATTGCTTTTCTGCCGGGCGGGTGGCTGGGGATGGTTGGGGGTGGGGGGGCGTGCCGCCTGACGCCCGGCGCAATTCTGTCGGCGTGCCCCCGCAGGACCCCAGGGACCCGGCGGGACTGGTCAATCAGGCGAACACGTGCTACGTGAACGCGGCCCTGCAGGTGCTGTACGCCGTGCCCAGGCTGCGGGACGCCATCTTCAGGGCGCGCTTCTCGCATGGGGACGGCGTCGCGGAGGCGGTCAGGTAGGCGGGATGGTTCGGGTGCCTCTGGGGGGCGAAGGGCGGGGCCACAGAGCCATTGGGGTGCGCCCCCGATCGGCCTGGAGCGACGCATTTTGGGCGGGGATGCCTGTTGTGTGCCTCCGGTTGTTGGGCTGAGATTGCCCGCTCGCGGGCTGCGCGCTCCAGGCAGGTGTTCCTCGAGATGGCGTACTCCCCGCTGGGGGTGGTGGACACCAAGGAGCTGGTGGTGGCCGCGCTGAAGTTGGACCCGTCCGTCCAGCAGGTGGGCGCGCGGGGCGCGGGCGAAGGGGCCGCCGCGGCGTCACGGCGCAGGGGTGACGCCGGGCGGCTGTAACGCTCCCACAGGATGCGGGGCGCTGACACCCATGGGGAATTATGGGCGGGCGTCGGATGGGTCAATCGGGCGCCTGCGGCCCGCGGACTCCTGCCCTCTGACCTTCCGTCCCCCCTTTCGATGCTGCACTGACCTCCGGCGGAGCCTGGGCTGAAACGGACTTGATTATGTGTGTGGCAGGATGGGCAGGAATTCATGAAGCTGTTCCTGAGCCTGTTGGAGAAGTCCTTTGAGGGCGATCCGGTGTTCAAGGTGCTGGGCAGGGCGCACGCACGTGCGGTTTTCTCTGGAGAATGGAAACGCCAGTTTCGCTGTTGGGCTTGGTCTGAGGCTAGAATTGGCGATTGAATCTGATATCCACCTTTGTGGCCTTGCAGGATGTTGTGACACAAGTGTTCGGCGGGAGGCAGAGCTACACCACCCTTTGCAAGGTAAGCCATGGGGGCTTTGCTTGGCTTCATCGTCAAGGTTCTGCACAGCCAAAGGGTTGCTGGTTCGAGGCGCACATGCACGGCTCTGCCCAGAGAAAACAACTGTACGCAAACAGGGAAATGGCAAACGCACTAACCAGACACCTTCAGCGACAATGCAGCATAGCACCAGACGAAGTTTATCCAACGACTCTGTATGCAGCTGGAACATGGTATGCTCTGTCTTGAGAAAAGTGCCGCACAGTGGAGGTTGGGCACAAGCATTAGCAAGAATTTGCTGGCGTGCACATGGCAGGGTCATGGCACTCAAGTGTTCTTTTTGCAGTGAACAAACGCATTCTGTTGTGGCAAACTCCTTGTGCAGGCTCTGTTCAGGAGCTAATTCTCTAGCTGACCTGCAGGGCTGCAATCAACTCTCGTCCAGCTCCCGTGACACAGTTGATTTTCTGGACTTGAGTTTGCAAGTGAAGGACTGTGACTCGATCGAGGATAGTTTGGTACGTGCCATGGATCGACCAATGGACTTGTCTGTGTATGCATGCATGTAATTGCCATGTAAGATGTGTCAATGTGATGGAATCACTTGATGCCAGACAGGAATCATGAGAACTATGTATTGTGTGGCAGTAAACCACAGAGCATTGTCTGTCCTTCTCATTCTTCTTGTCATAGTCATCAACACTGGCTTGTGGCTTTGTGTGGCCCGCTGCTCTGGGTGGCACAGGCAATGTGAGTGAAGTTAGGGAAATGAGGGCAGGGAGGCAGAAGCGAGCCAGGGGAGTGGGCATGTGATGCAGCTGCATTTTGTTACCTGCTTTGCCGCTAGTATGCTGCTACACTCACTGTTCCTTTGGCATTTGCTACCCCAATGGAACGCCCAGCTGAAGTTTCACATGGTCTGTCCAGGGCCGATTCACAGCACCATCGTTCCTGGATGGTGACAACAAATATCTGTGCGAAGGGTGCAACGCAAGGTGTGACGCCGTGCGCAGGACAGTCCTCCGTGGGTTTCCTCCCATCTTAGTTTTCACCCTGGAGCGTTTTGCCTTCGACCTGCAGGTACACGTCTGTTCAAAATGCAACAATTGCAAAGTGCCCTATCATGCAAACTGCCCTATCATGCTGTGTGTGTGCTGAAGGGCGTCCTGCTGGCTGCCTGGCCGTCTCGTGCTGTGAAACCTTTGGACAATGTGAACATGAACATGAACAGTGTAACTTTTCCTCTGATCACTCAGTGATGCAGACGACAGAGCATGCTTTTGGACCGAAACTTGTACGATTTGCCACCATATGGCTCCAGTAGCCACAATATGATGGTATGTCCTAGAAGTTGTTCAGCACAATCTGAACTTTGTAAGCAACTTGAGCTCTGTGGCCACACAGCTGTGCAGAAGACCTGCAAATCAAACAAGTGAGTGGGCTGCAGATTGACTTCTTCCCTGCCAGATAAGCCTGACATGACTCCAATGCTGTATTTGCAAGACTCTCAACAAGGTCAAGGTCAAGTCTCCTTATGAGTTTCCTCTAGAGCTGGACATGTCCAGGTACCTACGCGAGGCTAACGATATCCTTGGCGAAGGGCCTTGCAATTCAATGGCATCTTACGAGCTGATGTCCATTGTACACCACATAGGCTCCACTGCCCACCAGGGACACTATGGTGAGATTGTGTTTCCTGACCGCTGTATTTTGCATGCAATAGAATGGAGCATATTCCACTGCTCTCCATTGAGGTGTATTCAATTTCAAATTGTGCACCAAAGCAGGGAATATACCCTCGCTTGCACAGTGCTTGTGGGGCTCCCATGCTCTAAACAGCAGTGGAGAGCATGCTGCCGGGGTTTTGGCCACTCTCTAGACAGTGGGGGCGTTGACACTTGTGTGCCGAATTCTCTGTTCAGAAATGCTTGCATATGCTATACCAATTATTATTGTGCACACAGGGAGGTCTCACGTAGGGTGCATCCTTGAACAAAGCTTTTGAGAGCATTTGCCGCAAAAAAAATGCTGATGAGGCGCAAAAAGCATTCAGCAAATAAGCATTTAAGGGTAATGAAAATGTGCTGTGCCATAATTATGAAGATTACGGTGCTTACTTGCAGTTACCCAAGTTAAGGATACCCGAGGTACATGGTGGCTCCTCAACGATGACAAATGCACTTCAATTGGGGCAAAACCCACTGGTGATCCAGAAGGCTACATCCAAGGGAGTGTTTCCAAGAAGAAAAGAAAGTTAGCACAGGTAAGTTCAGGCCAGAAGGACAGTACAATGTACGGATGCTGTTCATGGGCTGTCTGCTCTGATATTCCTTTGGTATGGGCACTGAAGCGCAGTGTGGGTTGTTCTTGACCTGTGGTGGAGACCGATCTATGTCTGTGATAGCTGTAGTTCCTCTCTTTTCAACGGCAAGAGGGAGGGGGGTATACAGGTGGGTGGAGAAAATGGGGTCAAGGGTTTGTTGATGCCCCTGACAATTTACTGTTGGCAGCCTTGTATGTCGATCTGCAACAAGTGCCTGGTATGGGCAGGATGGACGCATGTCATCGTCTTCTGTGTACATGCTCGTCTATGCTCAGCAAGGACGGGGAATGCATGTATGCTCAGCTTCCTTGGAAGAGCTGCCTGCAAGGTGGGAATTCCAATTTGTGCACACACGCACTTGGTAGCTGCTGTATGCTGACGTCTGCAGCCCAGATGGCTCTCTTGCCCTTCTGCTGGCTGAATCTGATGCTGATTGCGTGCTGTCTTGGTGGTTTCAGCCTGGCGGTGCAGGTGGAGAAAATGAAGGCCGATGTGGAGGATCGATGCACACAGCGACAGGCACGTTTCAGTCTCAGTTCTGTGTCCTCCACTGTTATTGGTCAAGGAAGCAAATTCTTGCATTGGAACATGTCACGTGTTGGCTGATGTTCTCAACTGCATGCCATCCCCCCTGCCCTATATTGTGGTGCCGTTGTTGCTTGAAACAGCACTGTGCTCACTACAACATTTTCCCCAATAGCACTGCTTATGGCGACGTCTTTGCAAGGATCTCACATGAAATAATTGAAGGAAAGGATGTGACCTTTGACTGGGGAATTACAAAGGGTGTGGCATTTGCAGCACAAGATACAGATGCACTCAGCAGTTACAGCACTGTAGAGTTTGACATACACCACCCGATGAAGTTATGGTAACTTTCTCTTTTGCTGCCTATGTTGGACACGATGTGTAGGGAGAGTTCTGTGTTTCTGCAGGAAGCAAGGATATCTCTAGAACGAGGCATCGAGGATCGGCAGAAATTTGTCCGCGAGGTGATTGGGCTGTGTGCCATTGACTCATCAGATACACAGGACAGATGGATAAGTACAGAATGGCTACAGAAGTGGGCTGATGCTGCTGCTGGGCCTGTGAAGATCGATTCCACACAGCTACTATGCCAACACAACAAGCTGGATGCTCTCAAAGCTCACAGTACGTTGGTTGGTCTTGTGAACTGCCTTCAGTATTCGTAATAAGTTCTGTGCTGTTGCTGTGCTCTTATTTGCAAGAGGTTTCTGCCTCCGTGGTTTGGAGGATGTTGCATTGACTTCTCTTTCAGTTCTGATGATTGCATAGCAACTATGAAGGCCCTGCACCAGCCACAGACATCACAAGACCTTCATCACTTGCCACTCTGAGTGGTGTCTGAAAGGTGTGTGGCCTTTTGCTGTTGCAGTGATGAAACGCATCTCGCATTCTGCGTGGTGTTTACTTCATGAGAGATATGGTGGTGGTCCAGAGCTCTCCACACAGGATGTGTGTCATGACTGTATTGCTGAGCATTGCCATCAAAGGCTTCGTGAAGGTGAGTATGCACTGGCCATAGCACTCAATATGCTGGAGCAAGATTCTGGGGGATTTCATGTGGGCATCCAAGACTGTTTTTGTGAGTATGTTCTGATGCATATATACATGTTGTAGTCACTGCTGTGTCAGTTGTAGCTTGCTGATGTGGCACACTTCTGTGTGCAATGATGTACACAGTTTGTCTGGACTGCATCAGTGGCCAAGGTGGCAGCTTGCTGCAGTGTTCAAGATCCAGTCTCCTGAAGGCATATGCTGACAATTGGCCACACTGTGCGAAACTGCAGACAGAGCATCGGACAGACGTGGGCATTTTTTGGAACTTGCAAAAGAATTGGAGAAAAGAGATTCAGACGCAAGCAGCGGCTTCTACGTCTCCAGACAGTGGCTGGTGTAAGTATTGCTGTGTGTGTGGAGCATGTCTCTGATTGTTAGTCAGACCACTAGCCACATGCCTGCCTTTTTGTGCTGCCTTCGATCAAGTTACCCTAGCTTGCCTAATCAATGAGCATCAACCTTAATAGCACCTGTGGTATTGTGAAATGTTGCAGACCTCACTTGGTGTACTTTGGTGTTGTGCCATGTTGTGTTGCCCAGATCGTGGAAGAGGAAACAAGGCAGGGGTTGCCACAAAGAATCACCGACTGCATCAATAACGTGTGAGCATGGTAGCTTGTGCCCAGATTCTGTTGCCAGGAGGGTCGTTCTGCCAGATGATTTCTGGTGCTACCTCAAGGTATTGCAGGCTGCAGGCCTGGTGCAGGCCTGCTGCACGCGATGGGCATCAGCCAGCTCCAGGTCACATCGTTGGGTGCATCCAAGTGAACTCGCTCCAGCAGGAGGCCTACAATGCATATCTGCAGTACAGTTGCTGGTTGCAGTAATGCTAGATCAACGTATTCAAATTCTGTGGTTTCATAACACTCTTTTCTTTGCTGTTCAGCACCACTGTTGAACAGGATCTGATGCTGATCTTCCTCTACAACACTCACATATCTGGTGAACGTGGGTCACACACATTTGGGGTCAAGTTCGCAGATGTCAGTTCTTCTATATGATGCAGGCATTCATGTGTCAATACCATCAATCTGGCACATATCACCTGCTCACTGATATTGACAGGGTGCCAAGATCACAACCAAGCTTTGCTGATGCACAATTCTCCTACAGTTTGCCTGGTCGGAAAAGTCCTTCCCGTTGGAGGAACACTTTTGAGACCATTGCCTTGATGTCCTCTGTGATCCATTGAATTTCTTTGGATGTGTGCCTGTCTGATTTGTGTGCCTAAGCTGACAAGGATCCCCCTTTGCTTGTCCATAACAGGAATGCTGCAGCACAGGGGAATCAGACTTGGACAATACTCAGAGTGACAATGGGCAAGACGATAGGAAGCCCTCTTCACCTGCCCACCAGGACACAATAGAAATCGATATTGTGGGCCAACCAGATGATCTGGCAGCAAGCACCTGCAGCCAACGGCCTGTCCTTGAGCCAGGTAGTAGGAAGAGATGGGCTTCAATGGGGGGGTGAAAAGAAGAATTCAACGTCAGCCATTGCACCTCTTGCTTGATGCTCAAAGCTTTGCACGCCAGTGCTGCGCTGCTTCCTTTATGCCCAGTTTGAAAAGTGGTGCGTTGATTGCGTAGAGCATGTCTATCACCTGCTACCTTGTCCTTGTTTCTTTTGTTATCCTCTGTGTGTGGCCTTTTGAACACAGATGAGGCATGTGAGTTATCTCAAACAACAAAAGCAAACACAGCTGCAGCGTGGGCGCACGGTTTCCATTCCCACGTAGTTTGCAGCATGCAGAGTTGACACTCCATGTCGTGCTGTTTGTGTGTTCAGAATCTGCCGCAGATGTTGATATGGTGGGGCTGAACAAGGACAAAGAAATTGTGGCATTTCCTGTTTGCTCTGCGTCAGAGTGCGAGCTGTGTGTTGCCAAAATGAACGGGGAAAGAGATAGACTGCAGGTGAGAGCAAGCAAATGGTTTGGAGCCATACTTGAACGTTATTGTGAACCTTTCCTACACATTGTGTCGCCGGGGCTATTTTGAATTGCAATTTCTGTGTTCCACGCTGACAGCTTGCATTACAAGCTAAGTGTCTGTTCGGGATGAAAACTTTTGTCCAGATGTGCTCACACCAGATTTGTTACTGGTTGGGGTGGTCTCAATATGCTAGAAAGCATTGTAGACAGGGAAGCTGCGAGCACAATGGGGACACATTCAGTGGCTTGTCAGTGTGCTACAAAGCTGACGCACAACCATCAACTTCACTCAGTTGTTTTGACATGCTCAAAGACTGCAACCTCGATGAAGGTAAGTTGGACTAGCAGCTGCTTTCCTAGCACAGGAGCAAATATACATCTGTTGTTGTTGAATTCTGCTGAACCAGCTGATTGTGTGTGCCCAATCACCTGGGCTATAACTGTTGATGGTCCATGCACACTGCTTTGATGCACGTGGCTAAGAACGATGCGTTGTGTGTTACCTTGTTGCCAGACTGAGCAGGAGCTTATTAAGGGCGTGCGAAGCAGCCTTTCACGGCTTTTGTTGCCAAACACCGCATCGCAACTGGAGGAAGGCCCCACATATTATTTAGTGCCTGCTGATTGGATGCTCATGTGGAGGCAGTGGGTCAACACCAAGGGCAAGATGCACAGGTGGAGTTCTCCTCTTTGGATCATTGGAGTGCGTGCTATCAGGCAAACACTCTACCTGTCCTGGCAGATGGAAACATGACTTTTTGCCCCTTTCCTCATGGTACGAAGTTGGAAATTGAAGATATCAATTATGGGCCGTGAAGCACCTGATACTGGCAGTCGATTTGCAGAGGTTGTGGGGTGAACTGGTGTGTAAGTAGTCAGGAACAGGTGGTACCCGTTGAGCTCAAATGGTTAAGTGCTGTATCACTACACACTTGGAATTGTACCAGTTCAGCAGTTGCATTCCCCGAGTGATTGCCCGTTTTGCAGTTGAAGTGGAAGAGCAAGAATGATTGAGAAGTGGACAATGCATCATTGAGTTACAGGAAGCACTGTACGATGGCCACCTACTGACATGCTATGTGGGTGTGCACTTGCTGATGCTGTTTCTTTCTCCTCTGCAGTGGCATGCCCATCACCCTGAACGATGCCATGTCAAATTTGCTATGCCGTTGTGGCACGCACACTCCTGGCTTGGCCATCGAAGTTCCAGCAGTCCACTCCATCAGGGGCAGGTGAGGACAAATTGCAGAGTGGTGCAACAGGACAGGAGACCTACACTTGGATCTGTCAGTTGTAGGTGTCGAATTCAATTGGACAATGAGCTGCATTTCACAAAGTGCAGCCACACTATCAGCGGATCCTATGGTGCCTGCTTGCTAAATCCTGCTTGAGAGGATTGCATGTATGCTTTTGATGGATGGCGCTCCAACTGTGGCCACATTATGACCATGACATGTAGTAGCCCTTTGCTGACTCAAACAATTCCCAACCCGCAAGACCCTCTAATTACAGCAGTAGGGGCTGCTGACCTGTGTGTGGTTGCTGGCTGCTGTGCAAGGTGGTCCGTCAGCCATGACGCTGTGGAGCTTGCGACAGATGATGAATGGAGGCTGCTGTGCAGTTTCCATTCCAAGGGCCAGTGCGATGCTGTGACCTGCAAATTGGAAGTCAGAACAGAAAGGGCTAGTCAGGAAGACCAGGAAGAGGGTCCTGAGACAAAGAAACTTGCTGGAGATGGTAGTAAACCAAGTAGAACGATGCCCACAAGCTCAACGCCTGGTGAGTCGATTAGGGGAATCAGGAAAGGCTGCTACAAGCCAGAAATCTCAGGCATATGATGAATGGCTGTGCAGATCGATATTGGCTTGCACCAATGCAGGAGGTGAAATGTATGACAATTGCTGCTGCTTCTGTACATAAGTGAAGGAGGTGTGGAACTATGAAAGCTATAAAAAGTGGGGTTTCGAAAATGCTCGTAGTTTTCTGCTTATGATTTGCATGTGCCCAACTGCAGCGTGCACACCCTTGAATATGTGAATATGCAACCAAAGTAGTGCGGCAGGATCATTGTTTGCCTTGATGCTGACTTGGAAGTGTACATATTAGGTGTATTCAACACTTGGTACTGATACTGTCGCTGTTGAATGTGTGGGCTTCAGATTGCAGTGACAGTTGATTGGTGCAGCGTGTGAATTGAGTGTGGTGGAGCTGTGTCGTCGACAGAATGATTCATTAACTGATTGTGGTGCAGTATTCATGTGCCATCGCTGCGATATGATAGACAGTACAGTGTCTTTTGCATCAATGTTTTATCATTATCTTCCCATTCCCTAATTTATTTCTTTGCAAGGGAAGACACTATGTCGATTTTGTCATGCTTAGCGCCAATTCGACGCTAGGGGGGAGGCGCCGACCTGTGACGGTAAGAGATTATATATTTGCAACAAAATCGACAAAAGGTGGAAAGATGACTGAAAACGCTGCTGATCAGCAGTAAGACACTCGTGATTTGTTCCTAAACCTCCCTGAAATGTTCAGCCCTCAAGGAAGTCCTTAGAATGCGTCAACTTGCAGCATTGAGGTTGCCCGCCCTGCATATAATGACAATTATAATCCCATTTTCTGCCCACCAAAATTTACGCGACTCTGAGCGTTTTTTCTTCTCAAAACCAGCTAGAAATTATATTCCCCTTTTAGATATTGTTGCTGGGTCATCCTGGCTTCGACATAAGGATTGACGCTGAGGAGGGAGGGGGTTCTGAGCATAACGTCAAATTGATGCCAGGCGTAACAAAATCGACATAGCGCCTTCCCTAAGTGCTTGAATGGCAATGAAGAGATTCCAAGGCCTGCGATGCGCATGGAACTACCAGGACAAGGCCCATTGGCATGTATTTCCTGAAGTGTGCCACTGTTGCGTGATGCAAATGTGATTGCACACCTAGCGGTGGGTCTGCTCGTTACCAATCTGCAGGGCTTTGACTGTTACGCCTTGATGTGGGTGCAACGCAGAACTGATAATCTCCCCGGAGCCTTGCCAGGCACATTTGACGCAGCCCTTCACGAAGGAGCGGTTCGAGGTCTTGGAAATGGCGGACGAGTCGATGGTCCTGTCTGCCAAACCGGGAGGCCGCAGGAAGAGGTCCCGATCGGAGGCGAGCATCAAAATCAGCTCAGCAGACAACTTGAAGCACGTGAAGTTGTTGATATTCGAGGCGCTGGGCATTCCCGTGCCAAACCAGCGCGTTTTCGTGCATGCGCGGGAGCTCATGCGAGACGACGACAGCATGGAGGATGCCGGGCTGCGCATCGGCACTCTCATGTACGTCGTCAATACCCACGCTGTGAGCGACCACGACATGAGCTGGCTGGACGTCGAGATTGGCAGGTCGATGGGCGCACCAATAGGGGTTGAAATGGGGTTCAAGAACACAGCGTTGCAGGGTATTTTTTGACGCATGCTCGCAGCAGCGAAAAATGCACCAGGAAGGTGCGGAATTGCTGCATCGATATGGGTGTGGCAAGTGCTTCACGGATGGGTCAGCTCCACTGTGCGTGAGCGGTACCATGGCCAACTATGCTGAATACGCGCACCTTGTGGCCGAAATAGTTGTAGGGTGATTTGTACATGAATGCAGGTGTTGTGACGTCTGTCAGGTTCTGTTGGAAGAGACGGTGGCAGGCACAGTGAGGGCATGGTGAAAGCGGAAAAGGCGGGCAAACTTAGCGTCTGCCGATCAAATGAGTGACACAGGGAGCCAAGGGCTTCACGACGTTGAACACATTCTTGCATCTACAGCGCAAGACGAACCGCCGTTTCATGGCGGACATAAAACAGATGCAAAATCACAGGATGTTCTTTTACGCAATTGATGGTGACAGCGCCTCACGAGTCCTATTGCTTCCTCATAAGCTTGTCTCCAGGGAAGCCGAAGACAACTGCTTTTAACTTGCTTCAAGCCAATTGTGGGGCAAAACCAGGAGGCCAGATTTGTGGCTCATTGCGTGCTGAGACGTAAATCCCGCAGGAATCTCGTCAGCATCCTTCGCCAGCACAGGGTTCGAGGCCTGATCATCCGCTGAGACCGCGGCCATCCTCTCCTGCAGTAAGAAGACAGAGCATCTGGTGCCAAGTCTTCTACCAGAGCCACAAACACATGTCATCTGCGGAGGCCACCTCACGCAGGTGCACAGAGGACTGTTCGTGCCAAAGAACTTGCCCTGAGTGATGAACACAACGACGATGCGCTGGCCCACAATTTACTTCCCATCTCATGGCAGTCCTGTGGCCCTGGAGGATTGCTGCACCATCATGCACATTATGCACTGGAATGCCGCAGCATTTTTGGTGCAGGAAGAGGTTGCCTGTTGCAAGATGTGCCTTCCCTTCTGTTCGAAAGGTGGTCTTCAGCGGCGCCAGGCAAACGCATAAGTCATGTTGACAGCGTTGCCCCAACGCTAAGATGGAGAGCTTGAAGACTCCCGAGTTGCATGCTCCGTGATGCATGCAGCCATACGTACCACAACGTACAGGCGCATGAACGCAGTCGATGGAGGCCATGGTATTGTTACTAGCGTTGTCTCCTTGTACACGGGTGACAGATGGCGTGCTAATGGACACGATCCAAGTAATGGCGGGCTGGTTCCTGTGAACGTACATGACACGTGGCCAGTGGCACACTGGCGAATCAGGTGCTATTTCTGAGCTTTTGACGGGGCATTACACATGTTGCACCCCGCTGAATTCAACAATTGTACCAATCTGCTGTCTACTCTCGACTGGTTCGTTTCTCGGCTCTGCGACCTATATTGGGAACCCAAACGGCCTCGCATCCTTCTCCTCATGCACTGCAGCCTCCCCTCTCAGTTGAGCTTGTCCATGAGCTGCGACAGTTCCTGTGCAGGAAGGAGCGGCACCTGCGCGAAATCCTCCTCAGAATACTCTTTCAACAGCAGATTCGCCACTTGGGCGTGCGCCTCGGCAATATTGGACTTGATGGGCTTGTACAAGATGCTGTGAGTGCTGGGGTTTGGCAAGTACTGCTTCATCTTCAGCACCGCCTGCGGCAGGGCCCCCCGCAGGGCCTCGTTCACGTTCCCCACCATCTCTGCCACCCTGTCTGGGTTTGCAAAGGCCTGCTCACGCAATGGGCGCAGCGGCCTGCCCTCCGCATTGGTGTGGGCGACGGCGCGAATGGCCGTCACCTTGGTCAGGAACGACAGCATAGGCTCCACGGTCGCCTTTGTGACCATCATGATCAGCGACTCGCATGCCTGCTTCAACTGCTTCTCTAACTGCTTCTTAGAGTCTACCTGTGTGTCGGTCACTCGGGGCCCTGCTCTGCTCATGAACTGCACGACTGCGTTGTTCCCTGACAGTGAGAACAGGGATGACTCTCCAACCATGATACGCCTGAGGTGGTCTCGCATGTGGGAGAAGTCAAGGTCTTTCTCAACGACTGAGAACTCTGCCTTGAAGGCTGCGATCTGCTCCCGTAGGAGCAGCAGGTGACGAATGGCAAACAGCTGTCCGTCCAGAGGGCCATTGGCCCGTCGGACAAGCCTCTCAGAGTTCACGATGGACATGGCACTGCACACCACGGCCTCATGTGCAAGGCCTCCGAATATGGGGGGTTCCAGGCAGGGGTACAACCTGGACAATAAATCCAGAGCCATCTTCAGAGGGGGGAACCATGTGTCCCTGTCGATGCCATGCCTGTCTGAGATGGACGCCTCTTCGTTGCTTGTCCCAACTGTCCCATCACCATCTTCCCCTTCCCCTTCCCCTGGCTCACCTGGTCCAGCTCCCCGATCGCCACTAACCTCACCCCGCGCTTCTGCAGACGTCTCCAGTTTCCTTGGGTAGTCCAGATCATCAGCAGAAGGCTTGTACTTGGCGATATCGTCCCTGATGTAGGCCTGTGCCCTGTACGTCAGCCTCTCCTGGGCATCTGTCAGTGTGCGCATCACCGTGGGCTTCAATGGCTCCACTGCCTGTCCAAACCGAGCCAGTTGATCGCCAGCGATTTCTGACTTCAGGATCTGGACCAGACTGCACAGTTCTTCCACAGACTGCATCTGAATCACAAAGGGCCTGATCACATCGTACAACACTGTCCCCAGTGGGTCCATGAGTGGCAACAGGAATGTGGGGTCTTCTTTGGCCGATTGGAACAGCCCATGAAAGAGGCCGTGCTCAGCTTTGCATATCTGCAGCACAGACACACATGCACTGTGCATGAATGATTTAAACAATTGATGTGTTCACTGAATGACATGAAAATGGTCTTGACTGGCATGTGCAACCTCAAATGGCTGATAGCCCCTTTCAAGGCGAAAATGGTAATAGGCACCTCACCTTAAGTACCTGCTAGGCACCCCCCAGAGCGGATACCCAAATGCATTGAACATAATCTTAAAGATCTGCAAGATACAAGTGCTGAATTGGCAACTGATGGAGGACGCAAAGTCAAACCCTTCACCCCGCATCGGCCATGCACGTGCACTATGGGAAACAATAGCTGTTTCTGGGATGGTGTGAAGGACACACTGCAGTCTACAAGACATGTTCAGGTCACAACACTGTGCAGCGAGTCAGTACCTGAATGAGGTAGGCAAAGCCATGCCTGACGATTGTGTCGATCGGCTGCTTCGATAGTTCTTCAACTCGTTTCTGAACAACATCTGCCATCAGAGATTGCCTAACCAGGCGATAGGCTGCCTGGCAATCCCCCAGCAGCCTTGCATACTCCTCCCTCCCAGATCTGCGAGCCAAAACAAGGCAGAGGCGATTTAATGGAGCAAGCTGTGGTGAGCATTGTGCACACGTTGAAGTGGGTCGCCTTCAGTCCGGCAAGCAGTGCTATCATCGCCCATAGCTGCTGCTGTGCATCCTCTTATCGTGATTGCTGAATACTTGCAAAGTACTAACTTTATTCCTTCAAAGTGGTGGTATGTAGTCTTGTTGTTCTGTCCCTTGCACTGTTGTCAATGATGGAAGCATGAATGGGGCATCAAGATGGCAAGGTGGAGTTCCTCAACGACCAAATTTACACCAGAGGGTGACTCTCCCTGACCTGTTCAGTCAGAAGACAGCACTACATGGGGTGCGATGGTACACTTGGCTACACGACAAGGAGCTTCGGACTAATTTGTGCCCAAGTCCTGATTCAACCCATGGAGGATGGGGCAACAGAAGTACTTGATGTACTGGCTTGACACCTAAGCCGACTGTGTTGCTGAGGTTTTGCAATCTGTAGACACCAAATACCGATGGGCAGAGTGGCGCCAGCTGATTCCAGGGCACACACTCAGTTGCCAGTGCTGGCCCCCATCAGTAAAAGAGATGCCAGGTTGTGGATGCACTTGGAGAATTGTTGTCACAGGAAAGGTGCATGCTGCTAATCAGTGCCCTGACCTCTCAGTTTCCTAAGGCACGTTTCTTCTCCTTCAACCCCCTAAACATCCCAAATCCGAAAACATCCGTTCCAACCCTCCGGCGGTCTCAACACGCCGCGCTGGTCCCTCACCTGGCCTCGATCTCCTTGAACAGGCCCCTCAAGTTCAGCTCCGCGGTGGCGCGGAACCTGACGTACATCAGCGAGGTGTCCCCGCCGCCGTCGTCGTCCGCGGGGCCCCCTTCCCCCTCCCCCTGGGCCTCCCTCCCCGCGGCAGCCGCCTGGCCGGACGCCTCCCTCAGCACCTGGCCGACGCAGTGGCGGATCCCGCCCAGCGCCCGCGACTGCAGCGCCCTGAACCGGCTCATGTACACCGACGACTCCGCGTAGTGCGGCCTCGCCGCCACGTAGGCGATGCACTCGTCCATCCGCTGCAGCAGGGGCATCAACCTCTCCCAGTCCGCCCCCCGGCCCACCCGGTCCCCCCCCGAGCCGGCCACGGCGTGGAACTCCGACGCCACGCGCTCTAGCTCCTCGAAAAAGGCCAGCCGGGATCGGATGGCCTCCGCCAACTCTACAAGCTGCTGCCGCTCCTCCACCAGGCGTTCGCCGGTGTCGTGCAGCGCGCGCGACCGGCCGATCGCCTCCCGGTGCGCCGCCTGGATAGCGTCCAGCCCGGCCAGCGTGTCGTCGATCGCGGACCGCACCGAGGCGCACGCATCCACCTGGCCCGCCAGCCGCTCTGCGTACTGGCGGTACTTGTGCTCGGCGGCCGCGGCGCGCGCAGCCTCCAGCTTGGCGTGCCACTCGTAGAACTTCTGCGCCGTGTGCAGGGCGGGCTCGCCCAAAAACTCATCATCACGCCCCGGCACCAAATCCCCCGACGACTCCGGGGGCTCCTCGGCAGTCCCCTTGGTCGTATCCGAAATTGATCCGCCCCCTGCGCTGGTTGGGTTCGTCGATTTTCGGTCTCGAATGTGCGCCGGGATCGGGCGGAGACCGCAGTGCGCGGACACAGCGTCCACCGCGGCTAGCTGTTCGGGCGTGAGGGGCGCGGACTGGTCCCAGGTGCTGGCGATGCTGTAGCTCTTGGAGGCGGGGCCCACCAGCTTGGCGGGGTCGGGCGCGGCCGGCGCGACCGCCGGGCCGCCCATGGCGCTCTTGGCGCCCTGGGAGGACGCCATTGGGCCAAGGGGAGAATACTGGCCCCCCGAGAAGCAGGGCACAGCAGCAAGGGATGGAATGCAGGGGAATGCAATAAAAAGGGCCGCGCTTTTGCCACAACACATTTTTGGGGGCCGAAATGGGTGGAAGTAAATGCAGTCCAAATGCGGTCGAAATGATTTTATACGGACATGACGAGGGGAGGTTTCGCGGTGTACGGAACTGGCCGTGTACGGAAATATCGGGAGTGTGACGAGCCGCTGCAGAATTCAAACGCGCACGCCCATGTTGCGCGAGGCTGGGCAGGGGGAGCACCTTCGCGACTGCGGGCACCGGCACCATGGGGTCGAGCGCGGGCGCGCGTCACGGGTGCGCAGTGAAAAATGGTCCCCAGCCTCTTTCCGCCCCGCTGCTCGATCGCCGCGCGGCGCGCCTTCCCATCCGCGGGGGATCAACGGCCACCCGCGGTTGGCGCTCTGGCCGATGTCACGGCCGTCTCGATTGGCGGTTGGCGCGCCAACATCGCCATGATCCCCCGCGGCCCAGATGCTCGGCCGTTGTCGGGTCGCGATTCCGTGGGTGTCGACGATTGGCTGGCTCGTGGTGTGCAGGGCCTGCTGTGTGTCGGAGCTCGCCCCCATACGGCTTGACATGAAGCTCGTGGGGAAAGAGGTGCGGGAGTCGTTCTGCCTGGATGCGTCCGTGGACGACAGGGCCCTGTTCCAGCTCGCCAGGACCATGTGCCAGGACCTAGACGTGCCCAGGCAGTGCGAGCACGTGTTGGTGAAGGCTATAAAGGTTCAACTGGACGCGTACACGAGCGCGGAGCAGGCGTCGCCGGCGAACCGGCAAGAGAGGCTGGAGGTCATAAAGTGAGCGAGAATTGGCTCGACGGGCTGACCTTGATCTGGGGGCTTGTTCAATGGGTTGCACTGGGTGGACACTTGTTTCAAGGCGAGTTTGCCAACACAAGGGGCTGGTTGAGGTGGCTTGTCTCTCTGAGCCTCTGTTGGACAGCTTTCCAGACCACCAATGGCCACTTGAAGCAACGGTTTGGCTGCACTGTGTGCTGCTTCAAATCCATGTCTCTCCACTGGCCATTGAGTTTCCAACTGCAGACTCGATGATGTTCAGACACAAATGCCCACCATGGCCCAAAACACACAGCAAATTGACAAGCTGGGGTGTGAATTGGGAACAGGATCTTCCCACCTATATTGTCCCCAACTCCCCTCCCATAAAATTTAGGCTACTGGCTCCCAACAAGACCTTGTGTCTCCTAATGTTCCCAACAACCGATGATATGCAAAACAGGCCTTCCACAGTGATGGGCCCAATGCATAGAATGGTGCATCCAAGTCCCTGAGTTATTCTTACAGAAGGTTGCAACTTGTTATACTTTGAACCTTGTAAAAACAAGAGTGACCGGGACCGCAAATGCCCTACCAACAACCTGTGTGTGAACAGCTCACGCTGCCATGCTGTCATGCCGTCGATGTTGGTTGCTGCAGCTCCTGTACTTTGCATGAACAACGTAGGAACAAGAATGGCTTGCCAACGCCTTGAAGGCGCAAGTGTGCTGTCCTGGCAAACGGCATCAAGTGTAATCAGATCGTACTTGCCATGGCTGTATGTGCCCCTGCCTGCACCATCCCTGTGCACCTGCATGTGATGCACAGCTGTTTGGGAGCTCAGTGGTGCTGCCACAGGCTTGCCAGCGGCACTGCTGTCCAGAATTGACTTTGACCAATGGTTGTCCAGGCTAGACTTTCATGCTGGGAATATCCACATCAAAGATCAATTCGTGTGGGATGTGGGTGACCCCAGCTCCACCCCAGAAGACTTTGCACAAGTGACCTGCAAAGACTTGAACCTGCCCCTGAGGTTCGTACCAGAAATTGCGTACCATATACGTGAGCAGCTGGTGCAGATCCGGCAAGCAGGGAAGAAAGGTATGTATTGAAGCTGGTGCTTTCCACAGTCGTTGAATGGCATATATAGTGGTACAAGCTGCTGGTGTATTGGCTGTACCCATGGGATGTGGTGCTTATGCTTTATGAGATACCACAAGGCGTATTGGCATGGCATGCAATTTGTTGGATCGATGCCAGTGTCAAGGCTTTGCACCAACAGCGTACGCGGTTTTCGAATCTGACGCTGCTGTTGGTGCTGCTGCACACATCAAAACCATGTGCTGGCTCTGATGTCCACGTTTGACCAAACGCGCCTCACAGTTAGGACTGTGGCTTGCGGTACATGCACTGATGACTGTCTTTCAAGCCATGGATGTTGGGCATTTTGACAAATCTCTTTTGGCAGTATTTCATTGTGACGCCAGTCAACGCCCACACAGGTTCTGTGCCTCCCCTTATATTGGACGAACCTGTGGTGCGAAAGCCCAGCACAAGAAGATCGGCTGGCCAGTCACCAGATGCTGACCACAGGGAAAGTGCTAAGGCAAGGTAAGGGCTGATGTGATGCCTAGATGTGTGGCTGTGCTCCCGTCTACTGGTCCATCGGCCACCCGTAAATGGAAATGGCTCATAGCACCCTGAAAAATGCTGTCCCTCCCAGTGTCAGACACTGCCACAGCTTCTGAGCGGTCATGGATTTTGTTGCAGGCAGGGCTTTGTTGCTGGGCGCAAAGGTGTCTATCTGTCAGGAGTTGTCAGAAGTCGGTCTGAATGGGAGGAATGGTGTCCTAAAGTGACAGAGCTGCAGGATAAGGAAGTGAAACAGGTGCGCTGCCATTGTCCCTTAAGCATGGATCTCTCTTGCCCAATCTTTCTGACTGGTGTGAACTCCCATTCCAAAAGTCCTAAAAGTGAGCCTAACATGAGAAAGGCAGTTGCATGGTCATCGTCTTGAGGCTTCAATGCCAGTGATATCTGTGAGGGAGAAATAGTTAGTGAAGTAATTGGGGATAGTTGATGTGACATACAGTATGAGTTAATATGGTGTTGTGAATACAGTGAAGACATGGCAAGTGCGAATTGGATATGCTGACAGTGGATGTTAGTTGATGGGCACACTCATCCTCTACTCCATCTGGTTACAGTTTGGCTTCCTGTGCCTGGGAGCGACCCTGTGTGAGGAATCTCGGTTTTCGCCTCAATATGTTCCTTGTACTCCGCACGATAGATTGCTTTGCCAGCCTTGTTGCTGAGATAGCTCCCTGTTGATTTGCAGCTGGAAATTCAAGCCAAGAAGGCAAGGCAACAAGCATTGGCGGCCAGCCCAGGAGCACCTCTACCTTCTGGGCTCGCACAACAGGCTCAGGAGAAGCTCCTTGGGCTTCCTGAACAAGCTGCTTCTCAGAAGCGTGCGCGACCAAAGGCCCGCAGTCACAAGGCGAAGCCCAAGCCTGATAGAGCAGCACAGGAGGCCAGTGGCACTGCCAGAACGCCTGCCATTGCTGCATCCTCTTCTGCCTTTTCGCCTATGGCATCTGGCACCAGCACTGCTGCGCCCCTGCTGCCAGTGGCTCATGCACACCCTGCTGGTTTTCCACCGATGCCCACTAACTCAGGCCTCAACACGCCCATGTTGCAGCACAGTGGGATGCCGGATCCCAAGAACATGACAACTGGTAGCCAGGGCGTTGGGCAGACGATGGGAGGAGGCTTCAATGGCTTGGTGCCTGATCAGCGGGCAGGAACGCACCCGTATGGCATCGATTCTCTCCTGCATATGCAGTACTGGCACCACCAGCAACAGCAGAAGCAACAGCATCATCAGCATCCCCAGCACCAGCCACAGCAGCAACACCAGCAGCAGCAGCAGCAGCAGCAACATGCACAGCAACAGCAGCAGCAGCAGCATGCACCACAGCAGGCTCACCATGTTGTTGGGCAGCTCCACCAGTACCCACAGCAGTCACAGCAGCAGCATCAACAGCAGCATCAGCCCCAGCAGCAGCAACAGCAGCCCCAGCAATCACAACACCACCACCAGCAGCAGCAGCACCTAAGAGCTATGGGTGCAATGATGATGGGAGGCATGAGCGGCACATCTCCACCAGGTCCCATGCCCCATGCAATTGGGATGGGGGGAGTGAACAGTGCGACTGTGACCAGCCCACACAGTGGGGAACAAGCAAACCCCTACGCCAGGTTTGGGCTGGCCAGTCATTTTGACCCCAGGAGGTACAGATAGCAGTGCCCGAACAGTGCTGGATGGTAGCGGCACACCATTGACGATTCATGTACAAGTGGACAAATGTAATATTATAGCTTTGCACTGCAGCAAGCACTGCCTTTACCGATCGTTGCTGTGGCCGTCATGTGCAGCAATATCTATTCTTGTGTCTCAAGGGTGTGTGTGGCTGCAGTCAGCATGCAGTTTTCACCACGAATGTACTGACAACAGACTTGCATACCGAGCTGTGCTGTCGCACTGCCAGTGGTCCAGGACAGGGTGCGTTGCAGTTCTGGGCCAATTCACCTTAAAAGCAGCCTGCTTGTTTATGCGCCCCCACACCCCACACATACCCACCCTTGCCTCCTTCCTCCTTTCTGGGATTGTCTATTGGCATCGGTCACGAGCTATGTTTGACTATCACTGTGAAGAAACTCTTGGATTCCACCAAGGCTGTTTGGGCTGAACAGTAACCCAGGAATGCCTGCTGTCAACTCTTGGATTCCACCATGGCTGTTTGGGCTGAACAGTAACCCAGGAGTGCCTGCTGCCAGCTGTTTACACAGGCCCCACGTACAAAGGCCATGTTCCCAAAGATGAGTTGCACTTGCCACAAGACAGCTGTTTATCCAGAGTGCCACCAGCAAAACTCCCTTTTCCTTGGAACAGCGACTGCAGTACAGTGATGCTGATAGCCACACATGCCACAAGTTGTCGCACCAAGCTTTGACCCAGTGTAGGCAAGCGAATTCCAAGAAATTCATGCTGCACAAAGGCTAGACACATTTGCAGTGCAGCACAGCTGCAAGGTCAGTACAATGTGACCCTCCAACGTCCTGCCTGCTCTGCACCAGGCATTGTACTTTCATGTTGCTGAAACACCAACAAGAGGTCGGCTGTGCCAAGGCCATATGTGCACTGCTGCAATGTGTGGTATATGATGCATCGGGTGACATGGCAAGTGGCAGCAACATGGACGAGCTATCCGTTGCCATCAGTAACAGCACCCTGTGCAGCAAGCGTGAAATACACATGTGGAGGTAACTTACTCCTTCCTTTTTGCAACATGGATCCCAGTTTGGTGTCATCAATTTCGGTTGTCAGAGTTAGGCCCCAAGGTGTGGCGCACACCTCAACTACTCTTTTCCTTGCTGGGGCTCTTGGCATCACAACCACAGCGCACGAAGCAGCACAACATGCCAGACAGAATACGGTAACAATATTGTCACACCAGCTGATTGGTCAGCACACTACAAAGCAGGCACCAAGCAAGGCTGATTCCCAGGTGGCAAGTGCTCGAAACCCCAAGCTCCTTGCGGCAATGGGTGTGTCACCAAAATCCGTACTCCAGATCGAAGATGGGCACCAGCAGAATCTCTCTTGGCACTAGTAGAATTATATGTTGTCTTCGAAGCCTGTGTCTACCTCCCATTTCTCTACACACCGTTCTAGCTTTCCCGCATCATGTCTTCACGTACTTCTGGCTCTGGCACAGGTGCATCCAACTGATTGTCGTTCATATAAGGCAGCTACTCTTCCTCTCCCCCCCTTGCACCCTCTCCTCCATCCTCTTCCTCCTCTTCTGCATCGTAATCGTCCTCTTCCGCAGGGACCCCACCCATGGCCCCAGACGCGATCCTCCCAAGAGGCACCGAGGCCCTGGCCTCTAGCCGCAGGGCGTCCAGCGGAGGCTGCTGGAACGGAGACGCCAACTTCAACGATCCCTGTCCTGGCCACGAAGATGACAGCACAGCGGTGCGTGCTGCATCGTGCGCCACACCTGCCTGCACAGCCTCCGGTGCAGTTGGAGCCCCTTGCAGCCCCCTCAACTGCGCAGCGGAGGCTGTTGGGGCGCAGACAGCTGTTGGGGTGGAGGCATCCTCTTGTGGGAAGGCACTGCTGCATCCTGGGGCCTGCGCCTCGGCTGTGAGTTCTTCTGTCGTGTCTTCGGATGGAGACTGAGTCCTGGACGGTCCCAGAGCACCGGCGCTAGACGCAGTCCCGGACGGATGTCTCTCTGCCTCCTTCAAGAGGGACTGGGTGAGGGTGCCCGGTTCAATGGAAGAATTGGAGGCGACGGGGGAGCCCAGGGAGTTTGTGCGCCCCGGGGCGCGGGACCTCCGACTTGGCGGGGACGACGGCCCGCCTGCGCTCGGTCGGCCTTCGAGCGATGACTCCCCCATGGAGGGCATCCTGCAGCCAGCGCGCGGACCGCCATTCAGACAACTGGAAGGGGGAGCGTCGACGTCTGCTGGACCCTGGCGAACGGCCGCGCCACCAACCGTGTGATCAGCCTGCCCAAGGGCGATCGGTGTACCTGGAACGTCACACCAGGGCAACGGCAGAGGCAGCCAGGAGATTTGGCCATTGGCAGCGCAGAACCCACCTCATTCTCTTGTTCCTGTGGCCGGGTTGGGTGTCATCGCAGTTCAAGTCTGGCGCGGGCCTGACAATCTCCTTCAGGAAGTCCATCATGTCATCCGAAACGACGCACGCCTTCCTGCGAGGCAACGCAAACCGCTCCGTCACGCCGCGCCGACGCCGCCGCCAACAAGCAATGGGAGGGTTCGTAGGTGTCGATGGACGGCGCTCCAAGCCGGGAACTCACAGGTGACCCGTCGTGACCGTCCTGGCGTGCCTCAGCTTGGCGTACTCGGCGACATTGTCGCACAGCTTCTTGAGGAACAGCTCCATTGCGCGCCCTGTCGCAGGCGCAAGCAGAGGTGAGGGGAGACTGCGCTGTTGAGCCTGAGCCAGGGGCGGGGATCCCTGGCGGCGGTCGTGCGCGCCTGGCGCACCAATCAGGACGGGCGTGGCCTGAGCAATCCGCCCGACATCCTCGTCCTTCTGCATCAGCCGCTTTATGCGCGCGGCCAGCGGGTGGTTCTTGCGGCCGGTCATCCTGCGCGACGCCGCGGCTGGAAAAGCAGCGGGGCGCGCGGCAGGGCGAACAGGCAATTCCGGGGCGGCCGGCACGGGCGCCTGCGGGAATCGGAGAAGGTGGGTGCCCTGCGGCCTGTGCGGTTGCTTGGTAATCGGGTGGAGCAAGCGAAGTCGAGGGTATTTGTGGCAGGTCAACCGTATGCATTTCCGCACTCGATCGGTGGCCGAACACCATTAAGTACTGCTATCGGTGGCCCCACCACTACGCCACATCGGTACTGCTTCAGTACCGCATACATGTACGCCTTGGCCACGCCCTGACCCGTTTTCAACCGTACTCCTTCCTACGAAAACTAGTCGTGCCGCCGTCTGTGCAGAACAGCACGAGGGTTGGTGGGGCGGCGGACACAGCCGGAGGTCCAGCGGCCGCGCCTGCGCTGCAGGGAGCACGGCTCGGGGTCAAGATGCCCGTGGCTGCTCGGGGAATCGCCGCTGCTAACGAGCGGATGGCGAGCGGATCTGGACCGCACGGCGGCAGGATTTGGCCGTATGCCGCCATTGGGGGCGTCGTGGCGGGGTGTGGGCTCGGAGCGTACCTCTTGTGGCGGTCGAGGAAGGGCGCTCCGGAGAAACTTGTGAGTGGCGCTCTTTCTGGGACGCTCTGGGCATCAGAGATTCCCTGCGCGCCACCCTTGCCCGCCTCCACGGGAGGTTTGTGCGGCGACGTGTGCGTTATCCGTGGACGCGCTCTAAGTGGAGTTGGGAATCGCGTGCCGTAGTTCTTCTTCGCATTATTGGCGTGGCAACGCGCCAACGCCAGCTTGGAAGTTGTAAATTGTCGTCGCTGTCGCTCGGCCTTCGCCTTCCGAAATCTCCCGGAAAGATCGCTGACGAGCAAATCATCAAGGAGGGAAGGGGAAGGATTGCTTGGAAGGGAATTATCCCCTCACACCCTTCCTTCACGTCTGGTGGGCAGCATGTCCAGAACTGCTGAATTGGTGACCCGGGTTTCTGCCTTTGTAGGCGGCTGATGGGGATGAGGATGGGATCACGAAGGAGTCCGTGGCAGAGTCGACCCCGCGCAGCACAACTACAGACGGTGGGTGTGGAGCTGCTCGCGGTAACGCGCACGGAATTTGATACCAAACAGCCTGACACAAAGATGCCAGCATTCATGAGCTACACAATGTACTGGTGATTACCTTTCTTTGCCTCAAAGGTTACGTTGATATTCCTCCATACAAAGTTGTGCTGGAGAGTTTGTGTCTCAACCGCTCTTTTTGCTGCGTCCATGTGGAAATGCTGATCTTCTTGCTTTTGCATGACTCTCTTGCTTGCCTTACTTCGACTTGTTGGCAGGCGATCTGCATTTCGATTGGACACAGACCTATGATGAAGTCGTGGTGGAGTTTCCCATCGAGGCGCATGTGAAGTCCCGGGACGTGCGATGCAAATTTAACACCCACTCCATCAGCGTCTCGGTGGGCAGCAAAGAGCTCCTGCATGGAGACCTGTATCAAGCTATGCACCCTGACGACTGTGTCTGGGAGCTGGGTGAGTTGCCGACAGCTTGATCTGTGCTTGGCCAGTATGAACAACCTTGGCTTTTCTTGATTGGCGCTGCTGCAGCTGCAGTGCTGTTCTTTGCAGTGATATTGTGACAGAAGGTGTCCTATTGGCATATCAGTGTGTACATACAGAAACTGTCTGTCAGTTTCGCACAGAGGTTGTCTTGGCAGAATGCCGTATGCTTGGCTACAGACCAACCCTTGATTCTGTATCTACTTGGTAACCTGGGCAGCATGCATATGCATGTTTCCTCTGCATACATTGGCACAGCCAGGAACAGACACCATTGTTTTGGCAGTTGATCCTTGTATTGTCCTTTGAAAGCACAAATTGGCACAAATTGGCACAAATTGGCTGCCTTTTCAAGTCAAGTTGGTGCATCAATCCACTTAGCTAATGTTGTTGCCTTGGTCACAGAAGAATACTCTGGATTTGCTTGGCGTGGAAATTGGTGCTGGCAGCGAAGAGAGTCTGGCATTGGCACAATCCAGTGATGCAGCTTGTCTTGAGGAAATTGTGATTGTTCATGAATGACTGTATTCATGCTGTGCAGCCGGCTCCGGCGATGGC